TGTGTGTATATATACTCTCTCTTAGTAATATAGTATATATAAGTATATCTCTCTACGTATAACTATATATGTTAAGTTATATTTAAGTATTACGTTTTCTGATGTATATATATTATATATTATATATATATTATATATATATTATAGATATATATATATACTATAGTATATATATAAGACATATCTCTTTATACTATCATGTATAATGTATGTTATGTATGTATAATACTCTCTCTCTTAGTAGTATAGTTATATAAGTATCTCTCTCTTTATGATATGTATCTCTTCTCATATAAAGTATAATAATTACATCTCTATATATTTTGTATATATATATATTATAATATATAATTATAAATATACCTATATATATATATCATATAATAATTATTATTACTATAATATAATATATATACTATTTATATATATATATTATATATAGTTCTATATATTTAGTATTTATATATACTTAATTACTCTCTCTTTATATATGTATATTAAGTAATACTCTTCATATACTGTATACTACCTATTATATAATATACTCTTTCGTAATTATGCGTGTGTGTTTCTCTCTCTCTTTAGATATAGTAATATAATTATAAGATATATTAGCAACGGCTTACTTATTCCCATTGCGCCAAAGGCAACGGCTACAGACCTTTATGCGATTCCTCTTATTAAATAAACTTATCAATAATACACATTATTTACATATATATATGTAATTATAATTATAGCTACATAATAATTTGAAGTAATACTAATACATAATTATATAAAATATAATAATATTAAACTATGTTTAGCATTTTTTTATCAAAAAAAAAGACAAAAACTTAAAAACCCTTAGTTGGGATGTAATGTACTTATTATTGTGTTGATGCTGATGAATTCAAATTAATTTATACTTATAATTGTAAAGTGATTTATTAATATTAATAAGAATTTATTTTTATATTTTTGATTTGTAATTTATTTTTAGTGATTATAAAATTATTGTCTTTATTATTATTTTTTTCAGGCCGTCCTTTTTTATAATTAAATTTAAATAAAATTAAAAATTTGATTAAAAAATTTACAAAAAAAAAAGAAAAAAACCGGCCGGCCCGCGGATGTGCAGGCCTAGTACTTAGATAACCAAGTTGCGTTTATAAAAATTAGTCCTAGGACGAAATAAGTTATTTAAAACTTATACAACGAGACAATAGTCCAAAAATAAATTTTCCACCAACTTTCTCGGCAACCACTCATTAATTCTACTCATGATTTATGTTAGGTATATTTATGGTTGATGTGAACGTAGAGCTGCCTCATTCAATATCAGTCTATGTGTTACATCTCCAACCATTGCACAAGAATAGCTGCCCAAATTTTCACCAATACATTGAGTGCAAAAATCACAATACTAACATAATTCATCTCAGCACCTCACACCCATTTTAATGCACAAAAGAGTGATTCTCATTATATTCCTTTTTATCTACTTTTATATTATTATTTTCTACTTTCCTTAATTTTTTATATCTTAACAATTACCCACAGATCAAATCTTATTTTTTCACGATATTCCTTTTTTCTATCTTTAATATTTATGTCTAGATTTTAATATTTAATTAATAATAATGTCTTTTAAATTTTACATTATTTTTATATAAAAAATTAATTTATTTTGTCCAAATATACAATTGGAGTAAAATTATAAAATAATATTTATGAGTTGTTTTATAAATTAATAAAATCATGAATATAATGCAACGAGAACAAGTGCAACCCATATTTGTCGCAGCACGTCAAATGCACCAAGAATAGACGCAGGAACGAAATGGATAGGGTTGAGAAGGCAACAGCCCAAAAATGCACTGTGACCATGTGTGCTCGGTTGAGATGCATTATTATTCATGTCTTTTAAGTCCTCAATTCGTGGTGCTCCTTTTTCCATATATAATTACTTATTGAAGTCAACTTTGGAACAAATTAAGTAATAAAGAATGGAAGCATACCTCTCTTAAATTTAGCCCAGCGTTTCCCCTTTTCTCCATTAATTGCTTTTCTAGTGCTGCAAACTCTTAAGAGCAGTAAAATCACAATTGTTTTATCATGATCCTATAGATATTAACAAAATCTATTTATCTTTTTTTTGTTTTTTTGGTTGTTCAATGATTCAATCTAACGATAAGTAGGTCTCTTACTGATTCTTAATGAATATCAGCAATTATTAACAGTCGTTCTTCCTTATTCCACGAACTAAGTGATGAATAAATTATCCTTCTTTCTCAAAACAAGATCATACATGGTAGGATCTTATATATTTTCAAATAAAAAAATTATATATAGATCACTACTTACATTAGTATAACTATGATTTAATTTAATGGCCGTCGCTCCGCTTTATTATAAAACCATAGACATTAAAACATCTTGGCATGCTAATATTATAATATTCGATCCACATTGCTTTTCACAGCATACAAGTATTTTAAGGAACAACACGGTTCTGACGCAAGCCTTCTGCCAAAAAAAGCACAGAATGCACATGTGATTCGAGTGACAGCTCAATATTGAACACGACGCTGTCTCTTATCCCGCCAAATGAAAAATAAATATAAACAGGTTCCACAGTCCGTTTTATGACAGCCACAATCAAAATATGACAAAGTAAACAGGTAATTTATCACTTTCATGATGTCGAATTAGTAGTTGTCCTATCATGATTACTACCGATGCAGATCCTCATTATAGATCTCTATTTATTGATGATACTACACTAACGATACGTTTACGGTCCATGAACATAATATATTTTTGAAACAATAAATTATTCTATAAACAGAACAAATAACCTATACAATGAATATTCTTGATTCTTTGCTGCCTCTGAATTCCAAAATACTATATCCGTACTGTCAAACTTAAAAATAAATAAGAAACAGATTGAATGCGGAAAATGACTCAGACATTCGTTTATTTCTTGCTCTGAACACCTTGGTACTGCCACATGTTTGTTGGGCCAGGCCCAGATTTGTAGCAATCAAGTTGAAACAAGTAAGTATTGTAATGGCCAGGCTAACCTTTACAACATGTGGATAAGGCCGGTCCATTCTGATAAAAAGGTTCTAAAAGGCCGGCCAACATCCTAAATATTTATACCTTTCTCGTACTTTATACTCAGTCTTTCTCTTTCCTTTTCTTTTTTCTTTTATATTTTTTTGTGTGGGACACTATAAAATTTTTAAGAAGGCGCAATATCATTATATTTCATTAACGCGAATATATGAAGTATTTTTAATATCTCATAAAATTTTATAACAATTGTCGATCATATCTACTCTCTTAAAAGCCAACGAAGTTTTCGGAAACAATCTCTTCTGCAGATCTAGACAAAAAATAATCATTCCATTAAACAATAGTGGTGATAAATTGATAAATTATTATGGACCCCCTTTACATCATGTATGAAGATAAAGATTATTGTTTCATCAATGCTCTACAACTTAATGAATTATTTCGAATATTCAATTTCAATGTATACAAGATGAAAAGTATATGCCTAAAACCATTTAATGTTTGTCCCAGAAGGTCGAACACCAGCAGGACACAGACCTACAAATTATATTTGTTTGTTGGACCAGCTATTTTGCCAAAATTACGCTGAACAAAGTCTTATGGATAATATAGTCGGTTCTCAAATAAAAAAAGATAATAAAAACAAACGGCTCACGATCTAAGCGTCACAATGTGACCGATTGGTCAACACTAAAATCAAGTAGTTAACATACGTATAATTAGTTTTAAAGCTTTAATCCTATATATTATTATTTAAATAGAACTCTATTTAACAGATGTCTCTCTCGCCCCAACTCGCATACCAAGCTCTCAGGCAAGAACATTACAGGAATTTTCATCAGATTTTATCTATTTATATGTGTATTCTTATTAGTTTCGTTCTATTAGTTTTAAATTTAGTTGTTTTAACAATTATGAATTATGGGACAAAAAAGAACAAATGGCAAAGTAAACTTTTCTCACCAAAGGCGACCTGTTCATGTATTTTATTCTTATTAAATTAGATAGATTATTTTAAAGCAATTATATATAGTATATATGTTTGATTTTTTTTTCAGCATCGAGATTACAATATTTTTCAATAGCATTGTCATCTCCTTCAAGAGGTATGTGACTTTGATTATTTTCTTTTTTTCTTATTAGATAACTTAATTAGATTTGTTAAAATTAATGATGTGTATGACAATTGCACAAAAGAGCCGGCCCGGGCCCGGCCCGGAGCCCGGACTTGGCCCGGGTTTCCGGGCCTGGCCCGGAGCCCGGACTTGGCCCGGGTTTCCGGGCCTGGCCCGGGCCGCGGGCTGTTTTGGACAACCCTATCTAGTACTACTTTTAATACCAATCTGATTATTAAGTACTACTTTCAATATCAATCTGGTTACTAAGTCCATTTAAAGTCCCAATTTACTTAAATTAATAATCCACGTTAAGTCCAAGCTAGCACACTTGTGCTGACTCAAGAAATCAAAATTTTTGACCGAAAGAGAAAAAAAAAACGTGAAGAATAAAGTTATGACCTTATAACTATAAAAAAATCACGCTCACCTGACCTGGAAAACGAGTCCCAAAATTTCAATTTAAACTTGGAATTTTACCTATAAGCCCAATGGTTTACACTCACTCACTTTTAAAACTATTAAACTGAAATTTGACAGTATGATATACATCAACTTGCGGCAAAAATGCCAATTTAAATTAAAATATAGCAAGTCATAACAAAACAATATCGCACGCCAAACTTTTGAAATGAAAATGGTTTAGCAATAACTCAGAGGTCTAAGAGTAACTTTGGATTTGGTGGGTTTCAGGATGAGTGGAGATGCAACTTTGGGTTTATAGGTAAATACCCTTCAAACCCGACTTGTATATAATGCCCAACCGAACTTAGAGGAAGTACTCATTGAGCAAAGTTCTTATTCAAACGTATATAGAGAATGTCAACGGATGAGCACGAGGCGGTGATTATAGGCGCTGGGATCGCTGAGCTCTCCGCGGCGCTGGGGCTGAAGAGATCAGTTGGAATAAAGAGTGTTGTTCTCGAGAGGTCGCCTGAATTGAGAGCCGCCTGCACTGCTCCCTCGCTGTCGCCGGATGCTTGGCGAGCTCTTGATGCGCTTAGAATTGGCGATAAGCTCAGTGTAGCTTATCGCCTCGCTAAGAGGTAACGTATAGCGGACAATATTGCCCTACATGAGAAAACCAAAAAACGTTCTTTTTTATTTTATTAAAGAAGCATACTAGTCAATTTGCTACTTTTCATTCACTTTCTCTACTCTAAACAAACACATATTATAGTATACTCTCTCATCCCCTCGTTGTCTATCTAAACATAAATGAATACATTCCACCATTTTTCTTTACACTACCTTCCCCCTGGATTTAAGTCAACCCCTCTACTCCATTCCCCTCAACCAACTGTGAGAGTTTTTTTTTACCACTCGCGGGTGGGACTCTCGGTCAGCAGCACCATGGGGGAGGATTCGCTCCCTAGGCCTTCGTGCCCTGTTGGTTGGGAGTTCGAATCCCCGTAGCCGCATTCACCTGGTCTCCTTTGGTTTAAGGGTAGGGATGGAGACCCGGGGGTTTTACCTTGTTTGGTAGGCCAGCCTGGTAGATTAGGGTCCGGTTAGGTCGTCTTGGTCCACACACTGCTCGCCCTGTGCAAGTGGTCACGCTGGTCCTGGCACGTGGGGATGAGCCCCCTAAGAATAATTAGGCGAAGCTCGTTGCAGTTGTGGGGGGATCGGGGGGACTCGATCTGTGGTCTCCGCCAGGGATTCAGATCCTCTCCACTACAAAAAAAATAGTGGAGGGACCACTACATAATCACAGCCATTGATTATCTAGTTGATGGTTATGATTTTTTCTTTTAGTGCAAATTAGGAATGAGTGCAATACACGGGGGTATGATAAGTTTTAGATTTAGATTGTATCATAACCGCCTACTAAATAATCAATGCTTGAGATTAAAAGTAGTGGTCTCTCAACTACTTTTTTGTAGTGGAGAGGATCCAAATCCCTCCGCCAGACCCAAAAGTGGGGCGCTGGAGTGCTAACCGGGGTTCCCTCGTCACAAAAAAAAAAAAAAAACTGTGAGAGTTTTTGATGCAGTGGAAGAGAGCTTAATTAACAAAAGAGTTTAAATTTTGATAATCTAAAACTTTCTTCTTAAATAGCATTTGAGTATAGCAGACACGCAGGGACATCTTATTAGCAACGAGGTGTTTAGAGATGGAACTAGTGAGATTCATGTGATTCCATATTATTTTGTTCATCTTCTGGTACCTCATTTTATAAAAAGTATCGAATCCCTTGTTTTCTTGTAAATCACAAAATCAACAAAGTATATTATCTAGACGTTTATGATTATCTGAGCATTGTCCGTAATCAGCACACGTTATCATTACATAATTATTACACGTACAGCTTGCAATTTTTTCCGAAGCACCGATGCAATTCTCTCTTTTTTTTTGGAAAAAAAGTAGTTAAATTGATAGTTTCTTGTACTGTAAATAAGAAAGCCGTTATAATTGTACGATAGAATTAATATAAAATTATAACCTTCAACTATAATTATAATTTCATAGTTTTAATGTAATGATTAGAGAAAATTAATACCCCATATATAACAATAATATTACCGTTTTCCGTCCCGTATATATTTTAAGAAATTTATGAAAATACATAATTTTTGTGATCGCTCACAGAGGTGAGACAGGAGTGAGGGGACTCCACCCTAAGGTGCTATCAGTAAGATTTTCTTCTAGGCTCGCTTCGTTTACGACCGAGATCATAAAGGATTCATCAGCTGTTGCTCTTCTTGAATCAGAGGATGGAACTTTAATCAGAGCGGAGGTAATCAATCTAGTTTGAGATTCTTTTGCTCCAAATTTACAGCACTTAATATGTTGTGATTATGGCAGGCAGTGGTTGGGTGTGATGGAGTGCGCTCTCTAGGCCCACAACGGCTGGGCCTAACTACGGCCATTGATTCGGCCCAAGCTACGGTCCGGCTCCAAAAGTTTGCCGACAAAGAGAAAAAGGATAGAGTTCCTGCTCTCTACGATACTGACGTTTCTTGGTCAACTACGCATAATACCTCCGAAGGCAAGTCTGTTGTCATCTCACTCTTTAACTATACAAATTTTAGTGGGCTCTCGGTTTTGGCCCACAATATGAAGAGAGATATTATCACCGCTGGAGGCCGCCCAGTCCGATATAGCGGGCGAAGCAGTTATGGATCCATAGTTTATTTTTCTTGTTGACACACACATATACAATTATACGTATAAATTAAGTAGTTTATATAATATAAACTTTATTAGTGAAAAAACACTTGTTTATACGATAATACCAACAATTTCAGCACAATACATGATGAAATTTCATTTTCTTGTCGTAATCATTTTCATATCAATACATGATGAATTTCATTTTCATCACAGAAGCTAACGTATTACTAAATTTCCCCGACAGTAAATCTTCATAATTGTATGAGTTATCAATCACATAGGGGCAGCTAAATGTACTAATTTATCTTCTCTTCCCTTGTTTTTTTTTCCAGAAAAAGAAAGTGCGATAGGACATGCAGAATCAATCCAGACCACCGACCGCTCGGCCGTCTCCCTGGCCTCGGTCAAGTATCATGCTCAGTGGCAAAGCGGAAGGAATTCGATAGGGTCCCACAAAGGGCCCGTCGTACTCTCTCGCGACGCCGCCGCTCCCAATGTGGAGAAAGGGGTCGAGAAGCGCGTGAAGAAGAGATCACGGGCAGCTAGTTTGAAATTTGGCGCATATTGGTCGGGTTGGGTTGAACAAGCTCCACGGGCTGGGCTTTTGGGCCGGGCTTTGGATGCGAAGTGTAGCGAGCCATGATCGTGGCGTGCTTCCTTCAATTGTTTAGAGAGGCACTAGGGGCACACACTCTACCATACTCCCAACCATATCATCTCTCTTGATGCAGTGCACGAGGCCCACTTGATATTTTAATTTTTAAAATCTCATGCGGGTCCCGTGCACTATAGCAAGAGAGATGATGTGGTTGGGACTTTGGTAGATGGTGTGCACCTATCATTATTTTTTTTTACAAAAGCATTGATAGGTTAATGCATCGAGTTGAGTGAATCTAAGTGTAACAACAACTAGTTATTTTATTAATGGTTTTAGCAAAATAACGATGTTTGGTTTGCTGCAAAAATTGCAAATGTTGTAGCAGTAAATGTTACATGCAATATTTATTGTTGATAATTAACTTTAAATTTATTGTTTAGATATCTGCAATTGTATTGTAGAAAATGAATTTCAAGGCAAATTTAGTGTTTGGTTAAAAAACAATTAGTGAAAAATTTACATAATTTTGTCATATAAGAAAATTTGTGAGGACATGATTTTCTGTTTAGATTTAAAGATTTGTTTAGATTTAAAGATTTATTTTGATGAGGTGGAATTTTTTTTACTTTTTAAGTTCCTTGTTTAAAGATTTTGCAGCTTTTTCTCTAACGAAATTGACTGTGCCGTTTGTTGCAATTTTTTTTCTTATAACCAACAGAGGCGGTCCACACTAAATCAGGCTTAAAGAGTGTTTGAATAGGCTTTTTTTTAAAGTTTATAAGTGAAATCTTGTTTTTGGTCACTTATGGCTTTTATGATTAAAATTTCATATAAAATATTTGAGTAAAATAATTATTTATTTGGTCGAAACTAACTTATTTAGATTAGCTTATAAGCTAATTTTAAATGAGCTTAAAAGCTAGGTTATGTATGATGTTACCAAACATGTAAATATGAAAAAAGCTAGTTTACAAGCTACTTCGACAAAAAGAGGAAAAAAAAAATTCTCCTGAACATCCTCTGTGTGGGCTACAAAATGGAAAGTATTATCATCAAATTTACAACCTGTGTCATTTATTGAAATTAAGGTTTCCTTTCATTTCCTTTTTCTTTTTCCCTCTACGAGTTAAATATTCAAGTATTGGGCTGCAAAGATTAATAGAAGCCCAATAAGGAAAAAAAATCCCAAAATTTTATGCATAGGTCCACTCTTTGACAGTGCAATAAGCCGATGAGCCCATTTTCAACGCCTCGCCGGCTCCCACTGAAACTAAAATATTATCAATTGCTTTCTGCCCAATTTAGGCATCCGTACACAAAAGTTCGTATAAAATACCATATACGCATCTTTGGCGGGGCACGGCAATCCAAAAAAAAGAAAAAAAAAGGGGAAAAAGTAAACAGAAAAAACTCGGCGGTAAAGTTACCTTCCTTCTTTACCGCCTTTTCCTTTCCCACGGCACCGCGTTCCCATTCACGGTTAAGCGCACTGCGACGCCACCCCGGTGATCACACCCGCACCCAAAACGGTAAAAAACTCACCCCCAATACGTACCCGCGCTTTCTATTTTCAGCCACTCCGAAAACTTCCACGTCTTCCCAAAATGACCCCCGAACCAAACTCTCTGTTCCCGTAATACCCACACAAACCCCCCATAAATTGGCACTTCAGACCGAAAGCCTCGCTAAGCTCGACCTCTCTTAAAAAAAAAAAAAAACCCTCAAGACTCTTCTCTCTCCTTGAGATAATTCTCTCGATCGATCGCGGCCCGAAACGCCTAATTCGGCGCTGGAGGTAGACTTCAGTTGATGCCGTCATCGCGACGGAATTCTCGGATCTCGCGGCGGGCCTCCTATCGTACGCTGTGGATCCGATCTCTTCGCTTCCAAAAGACCACGATCGTGAATGGAGGATTTCATACGGAAACATGTACGAGTCGCCGGAGAAACGGGCGAGATCGAAGGAATTTCGCTGATGGAGCGGCGCCCGGCGGGAAGAGCGTTGATGATGTGTGGAAGGAGATCTCCGGGGGGAGGAGGTCGACGGAGTGCGATGGATCGGGGTTTAATGAGAGATAACGGCTGGAGGAGTTAAACTTAAACGGGGAGGAAGGTTAGGGTTTCCGGCGGAGTTTTGGCGGTGGATCCGGGGCGGCGATTGCGGTGGAGAGTCAGCCAAGTCAAGGTGCTAGGGTTTGGGAATGGGGTTGAGAGTGGAGGGGGGGAAGGGGGAGGAAGGCAAGGTTCTTGATCCGGTAGATCGAGCGGCGAATGCAGCGGCAGAAGAGGATGATTAAAGATCGGGAGTCGCGCGAGATCGAGGGAGAGGAACAGGTATTTTGTGATGTTGCCCCCTATTTTTTTGGACGTATATAGTTAATTTTTGGATTATTGATTTGTTGAGAAATTGGCGCAGGCTTATACATAGAGCTTGAGTCTCTTAGTGTCGCAAATTGGAGGAAGAGAATGTAGGCTTGCTTCAACAGCAAGGTACTGTGCCGTTTACCTTTATCTCTGAGTTTGTTTAATGTTTGTGTATTCTAATTTCTTTCTCAAGTTCCATTTGAATAATGTTTTAGTTTGGCAGTTGAAGATACTGAGGTGAAATGCACTAGTGTAGATGTTATCTCTACTGTTGTTTAACATCCTTGGCCGTAAGAACGAACGTTGCTGGAGACAGATACAGTGTTCTGCATGTTAGCCAATTTGTAAAGTCCTTGTGGATATGATGCTAGATTAAATATTCTACATAATTCAAACATAGCTTTGGATGCCTCGATAAGTTGGGTAGCCAGCTTTTGGATGCTTTTTTTTGTCCCTTTTATATATAATTCTGGATCTGATGGCGATTTTTATCCATGAATTCGAGGAGATTTCGAAGGAAAAGGCTTAAAGAGGTAATGCAATCGCAACACAAATCATTATAATTTTAGTAAAACACACAAAATTCAAATATAAAACTGAATAAAAAAAAAAAAAAAAAAAAAGCAATATATACAGGTCAAGGAGACATCCTAGGTTCATGCCTGATTACTCAGAATCGAAATATACCTGTATACAAGGTTTGGGATATCAATGCTTTATCTATGCTCGTCCGTGGCCTCGGAGGCCCCCCACCCCCCAACCCCACAACACACACAAAAAACAGTTTGTTTTGCCTTATGATAATTTGTTGATTTGTTTGGTCACCAATTGCATTTTTGCCTTCTTATAGACAGTCAGAGGTCAGAAATTTATGAGTTTCTGGTAATGAAGAGAGGAGAGCATATTAGTATTATCTAGGCACTCTTTCTTTTTTGAAGAAAACTTGTGAAATGGGATTCACAAACAGATATAGAGAGGGTTTGTGATTATATGCAAAAACAATCATGGGCATATTTCTTTTGCCCCTTTTTAATTATTTAAGACTTTTTATTTTATAGTGGTTCCTCCACCTTGCTTTTGTGAATTAGGCAGAGGCCTTTTTCATTCTCGAATGAATGGTCAATTAAACTGAACGGCACTTTGGACACATTAGCGATTAGATTATGCTTTTTGCAGGCACAGTGTTCTGATACCTAAGATGGATTTATAGATAACGCTAAGCAAACACCGACACACACAACACAATTCTTTGTATGCATGTAGGCATAGTGGCAGACAATGATCATGGCTAGGTCACAGCCTCTCATCAATTTTGGAAATCAGAACGTTGGGAGTATCAGTATTGATTAGTTTATGGAAAACAATACGAGGCTTTGCTTCAATGATTGTTTACCCATTAGCCTTTTATTTTTTTGTTGTGGCTATATACTAGAAAATCAATATTTTCAATTTCAAGATTCTCTTGAAAAAGAAAAGGAAGCTACGAAATGATCATACTTCAGGAACATAAAGAAAGCTTAAACCTTGTCAATTGGCATTAACGTGGCCTATTTCTACACGGTGGGTAAAAGGTTTCGTTCTTTTGTGATCCTGGAGCATCTATGCTACTGGTTTTATTTAATTTATGATGCAGATGTATTAATAGCATCGTAATTTCTGGAGTTTGTAATGCTTGTCTGGCATCGCTTCGTGTGACTCTCCTCTTAAATGGCCGCGCGGCACAAGTAAACAGACAGGTCCTTGGGGAGCGGGGTCCAACGTTATCCGCAGCTTCATGCAGGCGCTGTGGATGTCTTATCTTTGCTTCACTAGCTGCATGGGAAGACTCATCGCTAGCCAAGTCTCTCCTACTATCAGGATCCATTGCTCATGACTGGTAGTTCTTTCTAATCCTCCAAAGGGGCTCTGCTGATCTTCCCACTGAGAAAACGCAAAAGTGGGCGACTTGAAGAAGTCAGCTACCAACTTACCTTCAATGCAACATTGAGCTCAAAGCTTTCACAAAAACCTTTTAATTTCCATCCCAAGATATGGGTAATAAAGTTTGCATTCAATGGATTCAGGAGTGAATAATGAAGTTACATTATGAATTGAGTACATGAATCAATGCTGTTTAGAAGGTTGAATATGCCACAATGAGGTGAGATCCAGGGATGAAAGGAGGAGTTTCAACAATTCTCTAGGAAACTTGGCCATGAAGGAGGTTGGCGTTGATTAGATTTTACTTGTTAGGTTTGGCATGTAAGTTTGTCAAGTTTTTTGGTATGAAGGAAAAAGCTTAAGTGTCCATGTAAATGAATAGAGAAAACTGAAACTTAGGAATAACATCATTAAATACTACTTTCACCAATTATTGAGCTTCTTCTGACAGTCAGAGAGCATTCGCTAGGTGAATACCCATATTTCCGAGAACTTGACATTAAGGAGGTGTGCATTGATTAGATTTCACTTGTTAGTTTGCATGTAAGTTTGTCAAGTTTTGGTAATAGTAGGAAAAGGCTTAAATTCTGTAAATGAATAGAGTGCGACATAGAAACCTAAGGATAATATTCTATTGAATAATACTTTCACCCAATTATTCAAGCCCTATCTAGGACGCAGAGAGCATGCTAGGATGAATACCATATTTTGTGAGAATGACATCTCGAAATCGCCAAACCTCAAAAATTTAGCTATTATAA